ATCAAGCGGAGTGGCGCGTGAAGAATCTACGGACACCTTTTGACGACACCCGAGCTGTCACCAAGGTAAAACACCAAATTGCTACCAAAACGTTACTATCTTTTACCAAAATAGGAACTCTTTATTTGTTGTGTAGTCTCATTACAAGGGCTACGTCGAGACCCTCACTCTTGGAACTATGCGTGTACCTGGTGATGTGCTGGAAGGGCACAAGATTTTTTACTTCAGAGATGAGTTGTGGCTGCACACCACCTCTGTTCAGGTGTCTTTGTTGACACTTCGAGACGAATATCCTGCCATTGGTATTATCAGCCCCTCTTTCCACGAGTTTTATGTACTGGAGCAAAACCGACGCGTCGCAGCTGATCTCCGGGCAGAAAACCGTGAGTATACACGGGTCATTGGAGTCATGAATGTCGGTTTACACTGAGTGGCCTTCTACGTTGACAAAAACGAAATGTTTTGTAAGACATTTGGTTCTCTTCAATCAAGCATCAATTACATGACACTGGGGGAAGTGTGTGATATGTGGTCGCACCTATCCTAGGTTTGGATCATGACGTTTCGTTTGAGAAAGTCGAGGTGCGTAAACAACGAGATGCAACGTCTTGTGGAGTGTGGTGCCTAGCTATATTGGAGATGCTGATTACAAATGCGACTTGGGGCGACTGCCTTTATCAGTTACAACCATATCTACGAATGCGGTATCTATATAAGGCTATCGCTGTTGTGGAGAAAGCAGCAGTTTGTCGAGGAGTAGCTGATCTGCACTAGCTGCTTCAGTAGCTTCAATACATGCTACATTTTTAATCAAGACTAGTTTTGATATTCAGCCAGATTTTGGTTAAGTGTAGCAAATTTTGGTGCTTCAAATAGATTACCCGAGTTACACAAAAAATAAATTGTTTGTTGAGCAGTAAAAGCTTAAGTCCCAAAATCCTAAAAAAAAAAAAAAATGAATTGTCGCTAAATGCTTTCGCTGAGTGGTGTGTTTTGCAAACACTAGCCGAAGATATTATAAATTTACCATACGTGATGGGTAAGACCTTCA